AGGATTTAGGGTTAGGGGTTAGGGTTTCAGGGTAACTTGGGGTTTCTAGAGGGTGCGTACCCTAATCCCTGAACCCTAAGGGGGAACTTAGGGTTTTCAAGGCTTAAAGCCCGGGTGTGCTCAGGAGGTTGGGGTCTGCAGTTTGAAAGGAATTGTGGGATTGTTTTTTCCAACAATGAGCCCCCCCCCCACATCCTCCTAAATACAATCGGCTCATTTTAGGTACCCTCCCCCAAAGATCCCCCCGTTGCCTGATGTTTCAAGCCCTGCGAATCCAAATTGTGCGAAGTATCCTCTCAACTCGAGCGGTTGGATTCAACACCTGCTCTAAAGCCAAACTTGATACTACAGCAGTCGTTGACGCGGCTTTAGGTTTGCAATATCTAGGGTGTTGTCTAAGCAGGAAACCCCAAACCCTAGGCCCTAAACCCTAAACCAATTTCGGTTTTCCTGTCACACGGTAAGAAACACACCTCTGCACAAAATAGCTATAAAAAAGGCCGGAAAATCCGTGGGGAAAGGCTGGGGTGGGGAATGTGAAGGGTGCACTCCAAGCTTGTAACAGTAGCACCTGGACGAGCATCTGGGTAAGGAGTAAAGATTCCCAATTGCGGCACGAAGAGCCGGGGCGCATACGAAATGATGCAGCCACGTGATTATAGCCATACTCTGACGTCGGATACCCTCTGGACCGGTGAATAGCATGGTGTTATAATAACTGGGAGTAGGCAAGCAACAAAATCTCTCCAATACTACCTACCTAAACCCCAATAGTATGCCCCTAAACCCAGAATAACAGCCATAAGGACCATCATTTTACATACTTTTGGGGTCCAGGTACTACTGAGCAATGCTCCTCATGAAGCAAGTCATAAGCATGTGCGGCTTGACTGCCCAAACCCCACATCCGCACAACTACACCCAAGCCTCAAATCCGACGAGGAGCTATGCCCCTGAGCCCTGAGCCCTGTGGGTTTAGGGTTTAGGGTTTAGGGTGTGTATATTTCAAGGAGTTTTCCTTTGTACCCTTAGGGTTTGTACCCTTGGGTTTTGGGCCCCTAAACCATGGAATATGGCCCTTAATAGGGTATTTGGGACCCAAAACCTAGGGTTACAAACATTAAGGGTACAAACTTAAAGTCTTTGAATATTGGTGGTTGAACCAAGTAAGATAAGAGTTGTTCTCAAAAAGCTATATCCAGAAGGCTGAGATAACCTCACTCTTCATGGGGCACTCTAGTT